AGGCCATATGTGTGATAGAAGAACAACATGAGGAAAAGAACAATAATCTTCTGACCCAGTAATTCCCCCAGAGTTGCTGCCCCTGCCAAGCTTGCAGGCTTGGACTTAAGACTAGGGATGGCTCATGCTGGAACTGCCAGCAATTTCAGGATCTTCCTTGCCTTCATACTGGCTGTCCAGACAGCCAAACTATAGTGAACCAGCTCCTAAGTTCATCTGTCCACAGACAGAAGTTTTAAGGTGAACTGAAGGCAATTCTGTTTCCCTTATGATGCTAGGCTGCTGTCTGGCCAGAAAGAGGCTGCTTCATGGGGAATTTCCTACATCTGGAGTGTAGGTGGACAGTTGGGGGAAGGGATGTGGGGAGAGAAGTTCATCAGTCCTCATTGTGTCATTCATTCCCGCTTATGAGCCAGTCTTTCCATATTAGCTATCTTTGTGAAAATTCTTGCAGGTTTTTCTCTATCAAAAATGTGACAGTTACAGGTGTGGAGCGAGTACTCAGCTGACCTGGCTAAAGGCCAGCAGAGTGCAGGGCACTACTCGTCCAGCTACCCTGCCCGTATGACAGAGCAGCCCTTGCTCCCTAGGTGTTACCCGCTTGCTGCGTGTAAAGAGCTATGCTAGCTTTTCACATAACTTTTCTGATGCGAACTAAAGATATGTTACAGAACAATCACTCTTTTATCACAATAAAACTGTTATTCAGCCCAGATAGGAAGATGTCTGTTATCTGTCTTTGTGAGAAGAAAGAAGAATTGCTGAAGTGCTTCTGTTTTCTTTCTCTCCCTTAGATCTTCCAAGCACAGCTACTTCTGTCAACATCCCTGACTTGCTTCCTGGTCGCAAGTACATTGTTAATGTCTACCAGATCTCTGAAGAAGGAGAACAGAACCTGATCCTGTCTACTTCACAGACTACAGGTATGTGTGGCTGGATGTTGCTGTGCTTTGAAAGCAGCTCCGCAGTGGGTTGTTCAATACGTTTTTGTCGCATCACACCCTCAAGCTTGCCATTCTCCTCTGTTATTCCCTTAAATAGCTCCTGATGCACCCCCTGAGCACACCGTGGAGAGTGTAGATGACACATCAATTGTCATCAGCTGGAGACGACCACAGGCTCCAATCACAGGTTTGGCAACTGGAGTGCACCTATTGCTCACTACTGATGCAATCTGAAATCTAGCAGAAAGAAAAATGGAGGGTGGGTACTTTAAATCCGGCAGACTAGGAGAGCAGCTGGAAAGCACATGAGCCGTCCAGCACTTGCTTGGCTAACAGCTGAAAAGGTTTTTCTGTTTGCAGTTTGGACGGCTGGATGAAAAATGGTTCCTAGTTGATCTGGGTTAAATAAACAAGCACCATGACCGTGTCTGTATATCTGTCATCCAAACCATCTCATAACAAACATGAGAGCTGCATAGGCCCTAAATATGTATGCCAAAGCTCAGGAATATTCTGATCCAGGTCAGATTGCTCATTAGTACAAGGCATTGCAAGCTTGTGGCCTGTAGACAGAGCTTGAGCAAAAGGGAGCCACAAATGCCACTGAAGTTCAGGATTGCTTTTATGAAGCCTCAATGGGAAAATCCCCTTAGTTCTCAGTCCTAGTGTTCCTTGTGGTGATCTATTGATTGTGTCTGAGGACTCACTATACCTCTCTTGCTTTAGGCTACAGGATTATCTACACCCCTTCTGTGGAAGGCAGCAGCACAGAGCTCAACCTGCCTGACACTGCTACCTCTGTCACACTCAGTGACTTAATGCCAGGCATTCAGTACAACATCAGCATCTATGCAGTAGAGGAAAACCAGGAGAGTACTCCTGTCTTCATCCAGCAGGAAACCACAGGTGTCCCACGCACAGGTAAGGGCCAGAATGTTCAGGGTATCAATGTCACAGAAGGGTTTTTTGCCAGCATGTGGAGCCAAGTAGCAATGCGAGTTAGCATTGCTGTAGCTAAACATGAAGTGCCATTAAATTCTTGAATGGACTCTGGACTGTGTGTTTGTGTGTGTTTTTATATTTTTGTTATTGTAAATATCACTGAGACTGACACACTCAAGCTGCTGCTCTGCATTCATAGAGTGGGAATACCTAGGGACCAGGCTGGAGGCGGGTCTTAAGGTTGGTTTTTGCCTTGTAAGGCTATGTACTTGGAAAAGAAAGAGTTTCCTAAGTTGTCCCACGAGGGTTATCCTAAGAGATCTTACAAGCCTGGTAGATCATTTTGTCTCAGTACTTGGGGCTGCAGATGTTTAAAGATACATATTTCGATACCACAATACAAGTCTGAATAGTTCACCTGACCCCCTGCTTTTCCTTCAGACCTAAATATTTTTTTCCACTGCAGTTAATAGGGCTGGGATATTGCTCAGCATTGACTGATGTGCCAAAATAGAACTGTGATCTAGATTTGAAGCATGCACACTTGAAGTCTGAAACCAGTATTTTTTTTCAAGTAGCCAATTGAGTTGAATAGCCAAAC